AAAACAAAGCAAAATGGATGTGTTTCTTACCCTTGCAGAATTTTAATGTAAACAGAGGAAAATAAATCTACCTAAAATACCTGTAATACCAGGGAGAAACGTGTGCATGGAAGGGAAACCAATTAATACACTCAAGGCTTAGAAGTGAATTGATAGCTTTATTGTGAAATATACCCATGAGTGAATGAATAAGATTGAGTGTCATCCCTGGCTGGTGGCCTCAGTTGGTTGGAGCATCATCCGTACACCAAAAGGTGGAGGGTTCTGTTCCCAGTTAGGGCACATACCTAGTTTGCAATTTCAACCCCCAGTCAAGGTGTGTACGGGGGGCAACCAATCCGTGTTTCTCTCTTACACCTCTCTCTCTCTCTCCCCCTTCCTCTCTCTAAAATCAATTAAAAATTGAATTAAATTTTAAAAACTTGAGTGTCTTGATTATAAGACTATTAAATGTGAACTGAGTGGTGGGCTCTCATGAGAAATGTAAGATGTTAAAGTGTTCCTTGATTTTGGTAACTGTTTCTATTATATATAAATAATTTTATGCTAGTAGTTTAGCCATATTTATCAAATATTTGCTGTAGTTTTAAAAAAAAACTGTGCTCTAAAAAAAAAGTGTTCCTGAGCTCTAAAACAAAGGTTGGTAAACCAGGGAGTCTAAGAAGGAGAGTGAATTAAGACATCACCTGCTTCTACATGAGGAGGTTTGCCTCATTTCGACCTTTGTCACATTCTTACTATCTCTGCCTGTTTAAGCACATGGTCAGCATAAGACAAACTTCTTAGCATGCTAGTCAAGGCCATTCCTGGCTGACCCCTGTCTGCTTCTACCATGTTGGCCTCCCATCACTTTGGGTTTACACTCCATACTCTTGGCAAAATGAATTACTGGGGTTTCCCAAAAGATGACATGACTTCGTAGCATCCTCCCTTCCCCAATCCTTTCTTGCCCCAGCCTTCCAAATGTAATTCAATGGGCACCTCCTTGACACTTTTTACCCTGGGCCAGGTAAGGCTCTCATCTCTGTTCCCTAACGTCTGGACTTCCTCCTCCCGGCTCTTCCCACAGTGCACAGCACTTCTGTTCCCTCGCCTCTCCTCTAACCAGACCCAGAGGTCCTGAAGGCGAAGACTGTGTCTTTGGTTACTTTAGCTCAAGCACTCATATGATGCACAACAACAACTGGTACACAACACATTAGCCGAATGCAAATTGAAAGAGGGAGGGAGCAAAAGCAAGTTGCTTTAAATTTTTTTCTAAGAGAAAGGGAAGTTGTTCTGAACATGAGAATCTGAGACAGGCTGCTTAGGAATTACGAAACTAGTGCCAACTTAATTTCTTGAATTAATTAATATTACCTCAAATTCCTTCTGGAGAATATTTTTAGGTCTTCTATTTAGACAGATTGCTTCTTTCAATCTATACAACAACTGGACCATTTTAATGAATGGTTTCCCACAGGTGGGCTAAAATGTATCTCTTTTGAAAAAGGTAGAATAGCATATACCTCAATGAAAAAAATGCATCAAAATCCATGCTTAACTATTTTGCTTTCATCTGTAACAATAATGCAGGCATTACTGTTTTGTATCACTATAAATATCTTGAAAAGGTAACATCATTTTTTTAAAAAAGACATGAACGCTTCAGCAGTGATTGCAGAAGCAGTAGAAACCGTGGCCACAACTGTCACTTCACCTTTGCTTTTAGGCTGACCACCCATGACTAGACCATGTAGATTGGGCCTCTCTCCTCTGCTTATTTCCCCAATGAAATCATGTGCTTGGGAACGGAAAGCATGGGATCTAAAACTTTATGGCTAATCAGCCATGTTTTACAGCTTTAGGTTCAATCATCGTTGTCATATAAACACAGACTCACAGTGTTCTGCTCTTGAAACCTATTTTGGGTATTTATCTCTGTCTGATTCAAACCACATTCCCTAAATAATGATAAATATAATTTAGGTAATCAACACATATTAACCAGAGCTTCCTTTTTGTGAACATGTCAGAAATATAATAAATAATATATAATCAGGAAAGATAAAAATATGGGGGGATCACGATGAATTGCTATCATAGGTGCTATGTTCATATTTCATGCCACGTCTCCATAACTCTTAGCAACATCTAGTAATCAGAGAAACTCTTCTCCAATCGTCTATCATCCAATGTTGGCCACCAACCTCTACTTTTATTTATTGCTAAGTGATTTAGCAACAAGTTCAGCAAATACAGTAGATAACTAAAATGGTAAGAAAGTATCTCGGGTTCTTGCTTTATGTGGCCAATTTCCACCTGAGTCCAGTGGCTGGCTTATGGAAAGCATGATTAGCAATATTCCCAAGATCCTGTGTGTGAACACTGCCACCTATTGCTCACTCCACGTACACCTCAAGCCAAAGGCTGTAGACACTGGGCAAGAAACAGACTTGATTTTGATTCTTGGGTAGTGATCAACGCCTAGCAGGATTAAGAAGTCAAAGGCAGCCTTGGCCGGTTTAGCTCAGTGGTTAGAACATCAGCCCGTGGACTGGAGAGTCAAGGGTTCGGTTCCCGCTAAGGGCATGTACCTCAGTTGCAGTGTGTCCCCAGCCCCGGTTGGGGTCCTGTGGGTGGCAACCAGTCTATGTCTCTCTCACATCAATGTTTCTCTCTCTCTTCCTCCCTCTTTCCCTCCCACTCTATCTGAAGACACATACAAAAATGTCTTCAGGTGAGGATAAAAAAAAAAAAGAAGTCAAAGGCAGTGAGTGGGCACTGTGGTCAATGTGGACAATTAGTGATAATTATATTTTATGGAGTTTCACAAATTGGAAATATATTAGCTTATAGATTTTTTAAATGAGTGTTACACCAAAAATTAGATCAAGTAGTGAGAATTTTGTAGAATTTGGAGATTCCACAATATAAATAAAAAATAAAAATACCATTTACGCAAGTCTTGACGAGTTTCTTTCTTTAATTTAAATGGCTTTACCCACTACATTACTTCATTTATTGCTTCTTAATTATGTAGTAAATAATTGATTTTAATTGTCATAATTAAACATCCTCTTTCCAAACTCCAGCTTCTGTTTTGGTTGAGATATAAGTGCCCATCATCTTTCACATTGAATTATTAGATATGAAGCTGGAAATTATTTCCTTGATGCTTAGAAAAGGGAGAAAGAATTCTACACCCTTCTAAGGGCACTTGACTAGAGGGAATGCTATAGTATACATACCTCCCAACCAAATTAATAATTTGAATGCTGTGGCATTCAAATGATGAAACAAGGAAGCTAAAAATCAAGTCTTTAGGGTTAAGAAAAAGGAATTTCAGTATCTGACCTGAATTAGTATTTGAGTTTGAGAAAGTAACCACTTTGTTTTTCATTTTTAAAAGTTACTAATTGCAAAAAATATCATTCTTTCTCTCTGAAGCCCAGGAATAATATTAGGGGTGGGAGGAATCTCCCTGGCAAGGTGCCGAATAATAAGAGCAGACAAAGCAGAGAGTGAGGATAAAAGAGAGAGAGAGAAAACACCTCTGCATTTTGCAAGACTGGAAACTACTGCTTTGAACTAGAAGCACTGTTTTACTGTAGCAACAGGTTAACTGTTTTCTTTGGAAACAGCATGAATTAACTGGCAGAAGAGCCACTCGTTTGTAGAATTAAGAAATGTCTTCCTCAGAAACAGGGCTGCTGACGAGAAGCGCAGCCCCTACCCTCTGCGTGGCTCGGTGGCTCCAGTTATATGCTGTCTGCTTCCTCTCTTACAACAGACAAATCCCAAGCAACAAATAATTTGGCCACATCTCTTTAACATTTTTATACTGAAACTCTAGCACCTCAATTTTGGAATTTTATTATCCATCCTTTTCAAAATGTTTCCTATTAGTAAAGAAGTTCAAAATTAAGTAACTACATTGATATATACCAGGATATTGTATGCAGAGTATTAATGTCATGACTTTAAGTCACACTGTGCCTGGCTTCTAGGGGCTTCCCATTCATTTCCTGCCACACTGTCCAGTTTTTAAAACATCAGTAATATTTACGGTATTAAAGAACTGCAATAAGGCAGTTTGAAGGGTGTATTCAATTAGGACTAGCAGGAAAACTTTTCAAATAAGGTCACCAGCCTCCGATATGCAGTCCTACTAAAGTGATGGGAGCAAGCGGACATCACCGTGTGGCCGGAGCCACCCACTAGCTGGTATTAAATGAACCAACCAGAAGGAGCAGAGCACTTCTCCAACTCAAGAAGACATGGAGTCCGGCCAGTGTGGCTCAGTGTTTGAGTGCTGACCCGTGCACCAAGAGGTTGCCCGTTCAATTCCCAGTCAGGACACCTGCCCATGTTGTGGGCCTGGTCCCCAGTGGAGGCATGCTGGAGGCGGCCAATCGATGTTCTCTCTCATCGATATTTCTCTCTCTCTCTCTCCCTTTCCCTCCTCTCTCTGTAAAATCAATAAAGGGGAAAAATTTTTGAAAAAAAAAAAAGGCCTGGAGACGTAAGCTTTCTCTTTGGCTGACTTGAAAAGGTAAGACCTAGGCAGGAAAATCAGGTCAAGGTACTGTTTCTAGCCTTGTGGTTTGCAGGCAGAAGGCAAAAGACCTTTGGGTAAAAGTTTCAAGGTTTTTTTTCAATCTTAGCATATTTTATAATAATTCTCTTCCTCCATGAGAAACTCTACAGTAGTGGGCACAATGATCACCCCCCTCCCCCAACACACACACACACACACACACACACACACATCAATGACAGCTCTAAAATAAAGTCCTTATGGGGGATTTTTTAAAGTGACCTTTTACATGTCAAAGAATTGAGCCCCTTAGTTTTGAGAATCAAATAATGGCCATGATAGGAATATAACTTAAAAGTTCTTCTTTGTTGCCATCAGTTTGGAAACTCATCACGAAATCTCAGTGATGTGCTGCAGCCTGTCGAAGCAATGGTTCTCTCACCCTGTTTACCTAAACTTCCCAACTTGTCCTCACACTGACCTTATTGGCGCTGTTAAAAAAAGCATTTGCCTTTTTTAACCAGGTTTTCCTCTCCACGATGAGCTGACCAAATTCTTCCTGCAGCCGGTTCAGCTTCTGGTTCGAGAGCTGCAGGTGCTCCTTCTGCACATGGTCCCTGGACAGCAGAATCTCCAGCGCTTCGCTCTTCAGCTTCTCAACGGCCGCGTTCCATCCCTAGGAGAGATGGCTCTCTTCAGTTTACTCCACACACCCCGCCTTCTCTAATCTCTGGTAAGAGGCAGAGGACATTTAGATGTGTTGAACATATCACACACCTGTCATTATATTTTCAAATCATGAAGGAGTAAATGCTACATTCCAGGTATGAGTACCAACACGTAGATTAGAGAGAGAGAGAGAGAGAGTGAGAGAGAGAGAGAGAGAGAACACAGAAAAGAGGCTAATAGGGGAGAGGAGATGATAGTAGAAAGGGGCAGGGCAGTGGGATGTGTGACTGATGGATGGGGTGTCTGGCTGCCCTTAACACAGGTCACTTCCATTCCCGTTGACATTACCTGAAAACATGCCAAAATGGAGTCAACCGCATTTCTCAGTTTCTAACTCAGTTTGACCTACTTTTACTCATTCAAGTACAAGAAAGTCTCTTTCCCACAGTTCAGTCGCACTGCCAACGTGGGCAACTGTGTACCAGAAAGGAAGGGAAATCTCACTGTTATGGCGGGTGTGTTTGCATCTGCCTATGCGTAGAACTGAAGTTCATAGCTGTTAGCCTCCACAAAATTAATTGTTGTAATTGTATTCTCTCCTTCCTGGCCTGTTTCACCTCTCAATGCTTCACTCTTAATGACATGCAAACATTTCTGAAAAAGAAAAGAGACAGCCTTTTACTTTCTGCTGCTTAAGGATGAAAAACAGTAGGGAGAGAAGAAAGAAAATACAAGTTGGTGTCAACCAAACACATTTATGCTCCATTTATTTGAAGGGAAATTCAAATTTCTTGCAAAAAAACTGAAGCCAGATTCAATCCCATCAGTGCACTTTCTGGCTTCCACCTTAGCTGAGATTGAGTGCTAAACATAGGTTGTTTGTAAAGCATCAGAAATTTAGCACCAAATTTCAAAAATTGCAATCTGACTTCATCTTGGCTTGTTCCCTACTGCAAAATGCCATATTATTAAGTTAAATTTGTTATATTATATTGGATAAAACAAGTATAATTTTACTGCAATTTACCACTATTATTTCCATTCATTCATTTAATAAGACATACTAAATACTATGTACCCAGCACTACGCTACAATAGATGTCTTGGGTAATATAAATAAAGAATAAAATGTAGCTCTTTCCTTTAATAATAAATACATAAGCTGCTATTTTATATAATTTTCATATATACTTACATTATTAAGTATATTAAATATATGCTGGTCCTATAAACACAGACACTCTAGTAATATTTAAATAATAATTAGTGGGTGTTGAAGGTAGAAAGAGTAGATATTATTTTATGGACTCCATAGAACCTGTTCTAGTATTTGTGCAAGAGAATATTTTGATCTATGGATACAAGAGTAAAGACAGCAGATTAGGGGATTGTCATTTTTTTAGCACCTGTTATAAACCTGTGGCTTGTAAGTATAAACCTCACCAACTTAGGTTAGATGTTATTATTGTTCCAGTATTTACATAGGCTCAGAAGACTGTATTGCTCAAGGTTACATTTACAACAAGTGACAGAATCAGGACTAGTTCACAGGTGTGTGGATAATGCTACATTCCAGGTAAGTGAGGACAGAAACTCCGAATCTGCAAACTTCTCAGTGAGTGCACAAGCAATACGCTTAGGCATGAACAGGGGCCATGTGAGTTCTCAAGATCCTTCGTCATTTAGAGTTACTTTGTCCCCACTTAAGGACAGCTCGTATGTGCCATGACATTCTTTCATAAAGCACTGCAAATATCCTCCCCACTTTAAACCATTTCCTTAACTTCCTGGGAAAGAGCAAATACTTTCCAGGCAGTGAGCACACTTCTGGCACACATAATAGGCACTCAATAAATGTTCGTTAGTCCTACTTGTCTTCTCATCAGTTTTATTATAATTCACGAGTACCCCGACATTCCTTCTCTATTTATGGGTATTCTCGTTTTGCAAGTTGTAAAATAACAACAGTGGGAAGAGTCGCCAAATGGTATTGATTAGTGCTGTATATTAATCAGTATCAGGGAAAATATATATATAAAGCAGGCTTCTTTACTGCAGTATTTCTCAGAATCTTTAATATGATCATATCTGTATCATGTGCACTGAAACTCCCAGAGGGAAACATGGTGTGAAATATTTTGAACACACTTTTTTGACCAGGAAATAGGAAATCATTTCTTTGTTAATCACCCCGGGAAAACAAAGCTCCAGTTGGAACACGTTGGAAAGCACTGTTCTTGTGGCAAAGAGTAGCTGACTCACCTTGGCGTTCACCTGCTGTTACAAGCCTGTTTCTTCCTCTTCTGTTTGGTCCCTGTTCCTCTAGCTCCTCGTCATTCCATTTCCTCTCTTTTGTGCCTAATCTTTCCTTTCCTGTCTGTTCAGATTTGTGGGGCATTAATCCTCAGTGAACTCAAGTGAAGAGGTGCTTAACATGCGATGACAGAATAAAACAGGTCATTCTTTCAAAACATTGGACATTGACCAGCACCTTCCGTGCTTACCAGAGAACCACCACCTAGGAAATTCAGAGAACCTGGGGGACGCCTGGGAAGCACGGGGGAAGGTGGGGACGAGATTCGGATATGGAGAAATGGCTCTGCTTGGACCACACTCAGCTCTGGGGCAGCGATTTTCAACCTTTTCCATCTCATGGCACACATAAACTCACTACTAAAATTCTGCAGCACACCCAAAAATATGTTAATATTATTTTTATTGACTTATTTTTTTGCTGCTCTGACAAAAAAAAAAAAAAAGTATAATTTTGATTCATTTACATCGGATGGCTATTGTTGTGTTGGCTGTTGTCATTTTTTTATTTGGCAATCTAAGGGCACAGAGGTCGGTGCACCTGACTAAATAACCAGATTTTGCAGTTTTAAACACTCTTGCAGCACACGATTTTAAATAGCTGCTCTAGGGCATTGTCTTAACTGTTTGCAGAACAGCAAGGGTTGATTTTTCTTTCTATATGCCAGCACCATGCTAAATGATTTCACAAGTATTATCGCATTTAAACGTCACCACACCCCCTTCAAGGTGGGACCTATTATTATCTCCATTTTAAAGATGGGGTGGCTGAGGCTTGGGGGGAACTTGCTCAAGGTCTCAATAACAGTCAGTGAAAAAGTCACAATTCAGACTCAGGTGGTTTGACCCTAGCACCTGCTCTGTCAACCAGTATCTTAGCCTTAGCTTTTTAAAACCACAGAAAGAGTAAACATATTAGCTTGGAATTGTAGAGGTGAAACTTCCATAAGGCCTGTATAAGGCCATGAAAATGATGAAAGTTTTATAGGACCCTGAGATCTTCTGATTGGAAATCAGAAATAATTGTTTCTGGATAAAGACAATGCTATTGTAGATATAACTGAGAATTTATAGCTCAGATTCAAGCCTAATTTTGCTTAGAAACTGTACCACAATAATAAAGCTCTTTTCTATGAATAAGAGAAATACCTGTTTTCTAACAGTGTTCATAACCCTGCCTTTAGTATGCATTTTGCAGACAGCATGAAAGAGAGACTTCTGGAGTACAGCCAATTCTGTTAAAGCCTACTTTAACCTTCTGCTTCACATTGTGTTATAAAAAGTGGGCTATGACCTTCCAAGAAAACTGTAAAGGACCATTTTCTGCTTCTTATCTTTTCTTATTCTCCATCTCCAGTCTTAATTACATTTTTCCATGAACTCTGTGGGTATTAAATGAAGCTAAGTCTATTCAATATTGCGATTCAATCTTCTAAGAAAAATTGGTTCTGTTTTCTTTGGGCAATCTATAGGCCGTTTCTGATGCATTTCTATACCATTTTGATGATGTTTCTCTAGTCACTTTTCTTAAGGGACACTTCCACTATTTTGTTTTTTAAGGTCAAACTTTCCAGAATCATCTGAATCCATCAAACTATTTTAAAGTTGTCAATTTCGTTGTTGTCAAGGCTGGAGGAACCCAACGGTGATAATCTTGGTCCGTTTTCTCTAAGCCGTTGCTTCCTGCCTGCTAAGTGTTAAACCTCTGGCCAAGTTTCAGTCACTTTGCAATAAAATATTTCCAATACTTGTCCCCAGCAGCAGAAAGCCAATGCCTGCCATTTCCTTGGCTTTTCAGTTTGACAGGGATACACGCATATCTCTGACCCAATAAAGACGTGTGGCACTGTGTGTTCCTGGGCCCGGGGTGTCTCCACGGGTCACTCCATTATTTTCCTTTTTCACTCACAGTAGTAACCCTTTTAAACTGCACATTTCAGTATTCCATTTGCTGAGAAAATTGAGCCTCTCTTGGATCCCTTGATTGAAAGGGCACTTTTAAGAGGATTAGTGCTGATAGACAAGAAGGTGAAAATTATTTCTTCTTTTCTCTTTTTTTTTTTTTTTTTTTTTTAACAGTCTCAGGTTAGTTCTTCAAATGAAGTTATGAATTTATGGATTGGCATAAAAAATATCCAGCAAGTAGACTCAAAAAGTAAAAATATTAGCGACGCCATTAGAAAAGAAACAATAGAATGGCAATATGTTTAGTAAACTTTTGTTTGTTTGTTTTCACATGAGAACTTCTCTGCAGAACACCATGTGGTAAATTATTTCCATTACAAACTTGACTTTAGAATGTAATTTTTAAGTGGGAGAAGATGAACAAGAAGCAATAGAGAACATATTTGTAAACTACTAAGAAAATTTCCGTTGTGACGAATACTGGCCAACATCACATCTGGCAGAAGCGTGTGTCGAGCTCGGGGCATTTCCTGTCGCTGGGCGGGGCCCCTGGCCACCCCATTAGATACAGCCCATTTCCCATTCACTCTCCAAGGCTACAGTCCCATTTGGTTCAGCACCCAGAATTAACTCACCTAGAATTTTACATGATTGCCTTAACAGATGGTACAAACAAAATAAACCTGGCAATTTTCATCAAAGAACAATTGAAAGTGTGTTTTGAGCAAGAATTCTTTTAGAAGAAATGTTTATGCTTTTGAGGAGTGGCAGCGAGCCCTTGAAAAGCTG